CTCCTATGTCTCTGCTGGTTCCGCCCAGCTTCTGTTCTCCTGTGTTCCCTCCCAGCCTTCCTCTCCCGCCTCCTCTCCTAAAACCAGCCAGTTTCTCAGTCCTATCTCTGCTGGTGCCTGTCAGTCCCTCAGCTCACCCTCAGTCAGCGTCATCTGGGCGCTCTGATCTGCCTTGGGACTTCCAGTCTCCAGCCCCGCCTAGGCATGAGAATCCCGTCTCCGAGTGCTGGACTCCACCCCGGTCCTTCGCCCCATCGGCTCCGCCTTGGCTCCTAGCTCCCTCGTGTCCACCATGGCCCGTCATCCCACTGGCTCCACCGGGCTCCCTCGTCCCTCCAGCTCCGCCTTGGTCAGTCGTCGACTATCCGCCGCCTCGGGACTCCACTCCTCTGGCCCTGTCTGGCTCCTCCTTCCCTCCGTCTCCACCTTCATCCTCAGTCGCTCCGGCTCTGCCGTGATCTTCCGGATCCCCGCCTCCACCTTGGTCGCCTGAGCCATCAGCTCCGCCTTGGCCCTCCGGATCCTCGGTGTCGCTCTGGCTCTCTGTCTGCTCAGCTCCATCTGGGTCTCCACCTCCAGTGACTCCGTCTCCATCATTCGTCCCAAGGGTGTCGTCAAGGCCTTCTCCATCATGGCTCCTCCCTCCTTCGACTCCGCCCTGGGGCTTCGTCCTGGCTGGTCTCTGGACCAACATCTGGCTCCTCATGCTCCTGGCTTTCCCTCCACTCCCCCTTGGACTCTTTTGGACTTTTTAGTTTCTGCCTTTCTCCTTTTCTTCACACCCTCCTCCAGAGCCCCCACCCTCCCTCCTCAGTTGGACTTTGTAACAGCGCAGGGACGCGCCTTCCCGGGAGGGGGCGAACTGTTACATCTATGCCTTGTTTTCTGTTCTCTCCGTTGTGACCTAGTTTTCCTGAGTTGCCTGATTATGTCATTCTGTTCAGTTGTTGTCTGTTAATCATCTCATTAGTTCCCTTTGTTTGGTTCATGCTTATAAGTCCTCAGTTCTCTCTTATGCTGAGTTCACACTGCACGATTTTAGCCCGATTATTTTCACCCGACAAATGCCCGAAATCAGAGTCAAATCGGTGCTCGTTCACGCGAGTGACAATCACGCAGTGTGAATTATCAAAGACACGATCTGAGGGAATCGCGGACACGTCGCCGACGCCCGCAAAATATTTGGCATGCTAAATATCTGGAGCTGTAGGCGATTCACAATCACGCTGTGTGCAATGATTTCTGACTGAAAACTACATCGGCGATGACCTACAGCCAATGAGAGACCAAGATACAGGGCAGAGGGGAGTTCGGGGAGAACACCCAGTCCCTGTTTCCTGCATCTCCCTCCTGCATAATCTGTTTTTCTTTTTCTCCTTGTAGCTGGAAATCAGCTCACAGATCATTTGCGGGCTCTATATATATACTGTATATATATATTTTTGAATTTATTATTTTTTAATAATTCCAGTCTCGCTCAAGAACTACGGTCTGACGCATGCGGGTTCTCGCGTTATTTTCTTATCACTTCTCGCGTGTGTTTTGTTGTGAAACATAGTTTGCGGACCAGACAGAGCTGTCGTCGATTCTTCCTATTGTGAAGTCATGCAATGTGAAACCCCCTGTCGCCGATCCATCGTGCATTGTGAACACAGCAACAACTGAATGCTACCCCAGATAGTCACGCAGTGTGAAAACAACGGTGATCCGACAAGTTTGAAAAGCATGCAGTGTGAACTCTGCATTATGCCCGTTTCAGACTACACGATTTTAGCCCGATTTTGCCACGATTTGCTTGACGTAGGGTGTCGTGGGGATTCGTAAACGACAATG